ACTGGGGAGTACTCCAATTGACCACAGCCGCTACTTTCTGAGGATCAGTGGTAACCCCTGTTGGAGTAATGACATGGCCGAGATAGGCAATACTTTGCTTGGCGAACTCACATTTAGTCAGTTTGATCTTCCAGTCATGAACTTGAAGCTGCTGAAAAACCAACTGTAGGTGGTGAAGGTGTTCCTCATAAGATGGACTGAAGATCAAGATATCATCGAAGAAAACCAAAACAAATTTCCAAAGAAAAGGAGCCAAAGTGGAATTCATAGCATCTTGAAATGTTCTAGGTGCTCCCGTAAGACCAAACGGCATGACTCTGAACTCAAACTGTCCAAAATGAGTTTGAAATGCGGTTTTGAACTCTTCACCGGGCTTCAACCGAATCTGATGGAAACCTGAGCGCAAATCGAGTTTAGAAAACCAACAAGCTCCAGCCAACTCATCTAGAAGCTCATCAATTATGGGTACTGGGTATTTGCTTTTGGCTGTGATAGCATTCAACTGCCGGTAATCGACACAAAACCTCCATGTATTGTCCTTTTTCTGACCAATAGTATAGCCGAAGAGAATGGGCTAGTACTCTTTTGAATAATACCTGAGGCCAACATCTCCTTGACTTGTTTCTCCACCTCATCCTTGATAGCTGGGGAGAAACGGTAAGGACGAGAAGAGAACGGAGCTGCACTAGGCACTAGGGGAATGGAATGATCACAGTTGCGAGAAGGAGGCAACTGATTGGGCGGATCAAACAACCCAGAGTAATCTTGTATCAATTGCTGAACTTCGATAGGGTAAGCTGGAGGATCAGAAAGCTGCTGATGATCAAGAGAGCATAACTGCAAAACTGCTCCAGCTGACAAATCTGGCAGAATACCGACTAACTGAACAATATTGCCCTGATGTTGGAGCTAAATCCATTTTTGACCCCAATGGACTGCCATCGGACTATGGGCTTCCAACCAATCCAAACCCAAGATCATATCATAAGAGGTCAATGGAAGAACCTTCAAGTTTGAAGAAAACTGGCAACCTTGGATAGACCAACTGGCATCAGGAATGTGTGAAGCACAAGTGAGTACATGCCCATTTGCGACCTGGACTAACAAGGGAGGAGATAACTGTCGCAGAGTTGGAAATGCCGAAGCAACAACTGAGCTGATAAAGGTATGTGAACTACCCGAATCAAGCAGAATTTTAACATGCTGATCACCAAGGAGCCCCCAAAAACACATAGTGCGCGGTTGAACCATACCAGTTACTACTGCCACTGATAAAGAGAGAAACAACTGCTCTGGTTCCGCTTCCTGAACTGAATCCGCAGCTTCAATAGGAGTGGCTTCACGAAAAACATCCAACAGCTCTTGGACGACATGTAGTTGGACGGCAGCAGGGCATTGATGATCACGACTCCATTTACCACCACACCTCATACAGAGGCCTTGAGCATGCTAGGTTGCGTGGAGAGCGGACCAGCGCTCATCCAAGGTCGGCCCACGCCCAGCATCCACAACCGGCTTCACCTCGGCAGCCGGAAGGGCAAGACGGGGTGGTGGTGGAGGAAGTGGAAGCGCCCGCGGAGCGTACGGGCGGGGCCCCGCCAGATGTTCCACACAGCGGAAGTCCCTCTTCTTGGCTGGATCAGCCACCTCCTCCTGCAATTTAGCAAGAAGGCAAGCAGTATCCAAATTTTGGGGACGATGCAAAGCCACTACAACTCGAATATAATCTTTCAAACCATCAACAAATCTCATAGCATAGTAGAGAGGGTCTGTGGTACCACCATAAGCTGATAAATCATCAACGATAGCAACAAATTGGTCTATGTACTCTTGAACAGAACTAGTTTGACGGATTTGGAAGAGTTGTCTAAGCAAAAGCTCATGCTCATCCTGGCCAAAACGATCAAGGATCAAGCGAGTAAAAATAGGCCAAGTAGCGGACTGGAGCTAGGATTCAACAGAAGGGTACCAACGCTTAGCGGCGTGCGTGAAATGCATTTTAGTGACCCTAACCCACATGTGAGGTTCAGTACCATATAGATCAAAGTAATCCTTGCATTAACTAAGCCAGTATTTAGGTTGGGATCCGTCAAACTTAGGAAAATCAAATTTAGGAAGTTTTGGTGGCTGGAACCCATTATGCCCCACCCCGGTGGTACCACTACGCACTCCCGGATCATCAGTAGACTGGAAAACAGATCTCGGAGAGGGAGGATTAGGGAATGGTGGCATACCCTTGACCGGGGAATGAATCAGGGTAGAAACTACCCCAAATCCACTCTCCCGGTGGTGATTGTCAACGCAATGCCCATTGGGCAGATTAGCTGGAGCGTTGACCAATGGACACTCGACAGCTGACGGGGCGGCGACGAAGATACCCGGCGTAGTAGCCGGTTGCTCCAGAATCGCCCTCTCCCAGTTGCGAGAGATCTTTGACACCTCCAACTTGGACTTCGAGATGTCGAGCTTCATGTCATCAACGAGGCCTTCAATCGACGGCCGCCACTCATCGAGCGACGCGGTGACCTTCTCCAGAGCCGCCATGCGCCCCTCCTGCGCCTGCTCGAAGTCCCGGATCTAGCGAGAGAGGCGCGTTTCCTGATCCGCAAAACGCGAATCCCACTTCTGGTCATGCTTGTTGAATCGGCGGTTGATCTCTTCGAGGATGATTTTGGTCTCCAGATTCATGATTCCCAGTCGGTGCTGTCGTCGGGTGAAGTGGTCGTGGGCTAAAGGTTGGGAAGGATCCAGATCTGCCGCAACCACAAGTTGATTCAAGCGGAGAAGGGAATTATGGCGACCAAATTCCTAGCAGCAGCTCATTGCTAGAAACGAGATCGAGCCAACCGGATCACTTGCTCAAATCAACCGATGGAGGAAAAAGCGGATCGATGTGGAAACCCCAAAATCGGTGTCTCTGATACCAATTGTCAGCAATAGACAGGAAGTAGAAGCAATTTGGATAAGGATCAGACGAACAACATAGAAATCAGACGAGAAGGAGAGGCCGGAAGGAGGAGTGCTTAGAGTTTAGTCTGTTTACAAGATTCATCATCCTCCTCTCTCTCTCTCTCTCTCTCTCGCGTCTCTTTTACACGGCTTTCGTCCGAAGGTGCTCGCAGGCACAGTCACAGCCAATCCGCGCCAGCCAAACGCACGTTGGGCCGGCGAACGCATTTCCCAGTCCGTGGCACCTGGGCCGCTTCTTCTGAAGTCTCCACCGTAGATGGACCGCTAACAATCTGGCTAAAGCCGTCGCTAGCGCATGTGTGCCCGCGTGGATCGCGCCGATCTCGTGGTGCACTAGAATATATATATATATATGGCTTTTCCTGGCGGCTGGCGCTGGATGGAGATGGAGTATGGAGAGGCGAGTGTTGCTCACGCTTCTGCAACTCACTAGTGCTTCTGGCGTTACTACGCTGTTTGGTTTGGTTGTTGCCAGAATGCCAGTTGCTACCCACTAGTCTTCTGGCGTTACTGCACTGCAGCTACCACGGTGGCGGGCCCTGTGTACGGGTAGCAACTTTGGATTCTCTGAGCAATGTGGAACGTGTCTGCCTCTACCTACTGCCTTTGCTGCTGACCTTTGGCCTAGCCTAATCGTACAAAATATATATTAAAAAATATTAATATTTATGTTACATAATTGGTATATTTGGTAAAATATTTGGATCTAGTTTTTAATAAATTTATTTGGAGCTACAAATATTGCACGTATTTTGTTAAATTTGCGGCACGAAAACCTAAAGCGCGAGATAATTTGAGACGAGTAGGAGCTAGATGATTTAACGCTACAGCTCTCCACCTGTAGGGGCAAAAGCACCATGCACCGAGTGCACGCATGGTGGCAGACTGGCAGGCACCTGCCGTCCGTGTCAGAGGGGAGGAGAGAAGAACGGTATGTGGTGTGTTGGCCTGCTACCGCTTGCACGTCTCATCACCTCCGTCGCAGCACATCATCTGACGGCTCCGAGGTCGGCGCCAAGATCTGTGGCGCTGAGCTCAGAGCCATGTATTCTAGCGCCGAGGTACCGGCCACGTCAACGCCATCTAGGATGCCCTGCTGTGCACGGCCAGGCACCTCGGAGCCAAGATCTGTGGCGCCGAGACGTGTTACCTCGGCACCATGAGTCCTAACGTCGACCCTTAGGATCTAAAGATGAGTTTACGTCTAATAGAAGGCTAAACGTAAATTTTCTTTAAAATAAACCAAATTATAAAAAATTGGGCCAGCTAGCGATCGATATAATATGCAATCCCAATCCTAATGGATGCGTGTTGAATCCGGCCTGATTAGAATATATAATCAGGTGATCACCTTTGTCCTTTTTGAAAGTGAGCCGCTGCAGGAGCAAAGAGTGAGGTGAAAGATGACCTTTTTTATAAAAAAAAAAGTGGAAAAAAAATGGCAGTCGACAATCAGCCTGTTCGGGAGGCCGTATCGTATCGTGGATTATTTACTGCTGGCTGGTTTGGTGTGAGAGAAAAACATTGTTTCTGGCTGGAAATTTACGATCGTTTACGAGCAAGCGAACAAGCTGAATGATCGAAGAAAGGATACTAGGATGACGATCTCCCCATTGAATAGGGCACTGGCAGGCAGCTGTCCATTAAGAAATATCTCCATGCCCTTTGAGTGTTAAAACTGTTGCTAGATAGCGGCCCCCCAACCCCAATTTTGGTGCATCGTCGATTTGCATTCTGCCAACACACGTGGGAAGTTCGTGCAAAATGAAAAAAATGAAAAAAAAAAAAACACGTGGGAAGTCGGTATATCTGCAGAGGCCGCACTTACTACAGACACCACACAAGCATGCATGTGATTCACACGTCCATTTCGCCAAGGCGATACATTTGCTCTACAGCCAGCAGCAAACTCGCTCTATAAATAGATACCAACTAGAGTGATGATGGATACATAGCAAGCTGCACGATTTGTTCTAGCAAGTAGCAGCAGACCTAGTTATCAACGAGTTAGCTAGCTAGGCCCTGAGGATATGGATCCAACAGGTGTTGCTGCAGCCGCCGATGTCACTGGCACCGGTACTTCCCAACCCTGCGCGTGGGGTGACTTCTCTGTGACTTACACCCTTCCTCCCTCACAGGTAATATAATAGTATATCAATATATATATGCACAGTTAATAAGATATAATATACATACAGGGGGTGTGTTTGAGACGGCTCCACTCCATGTTTTTCAGCTTCGCCCTATGTTTTTAAGCTAAACAGGTTCAGCTCCACGCAACGCTGCTCTAAGAAAAAAAGATGGAGTTGTGAGAGCACCTAGAGGTGCTTCAAGAACTCTAAGTTTTTTATAGAGCTGCTCTACGGTAAAGTTTGTGGAGCAAAGTTCGTAGAGCAGTCCAAAACAGCCCTATAGTATAGTGTTCTTTTCTTAGATCCGGTCCTCTCTGGTGCCTCAATGCATAGAAGGCACAATAAACGAAACAACCACCCTCAATACATGGTTTTATTCTATTATTTCCATACATACATATTTATCTATTCTTCTATCTCTTTTTAAAAACGTTGTCATATCATAAAGGAATGTTTATATGGTAACTAATGCATGCAAACAATGCATGCATACATACATACATACATACATACATATACACACACGTAGCTAATGCATGCAAACAATACAAGCAGAGGTCCGAAGAGTGGATGAGAGAGAGGGCAGATGAGCTCAAGGGGAAAGTGCGGCAGATGTTCGTGGGCGGCACAACCATGAGCACAGCTGACATGTTGCGTTTGGTGGACACCCTTGAACGCCTTGGCATAGACAAGCATTTCCAGGAGGAGATCGGCGTGGCGCTAAGCCGTATCCACACTAGTGGTGAAGAGCAGGACAGCTCCAACGATCTGCATGTTGTCGCGCTCAAGTTCTGTCTGCTTAGACAACATGGCTTCTGGGTATCAACAGGTATACATATATATAGGAAACTATAAGCTATGAGTAATGCTAACCAAGAATCAATTAATGAGGTTATATGCATCATTGCATACATACAGATGTGTTTGACAAATTCAGAGATGACACGGGCAATTTCAGCAAGGATTTGGCAACCGATCCCATGGGACTGCTTAGCCTGTACAACGCGGCTCACATGGCGGTCCCGGGTGAGGCAGCCCTAGACGAGATCGCTGCTTTTGCTAGGCGCCACCTTGAGCTCGCAAAACCCAAGCTCAGGTCACCTATGGCAGAGCAGGTGTCCCGCGCCTTGGAGATCCCACGCCCTCGGTTCATGCGGCGACTTGAGGCCATGCACTACGTCACTGAGTACGAGCAAGAAGAGGCGCACAACACCGCAATTCTCGAGCTGGCGAAGCTGGAATTTAACATACTCAGGTCTCTCCACCTCAAGGAGCTCAAGGAAATCTCCTTGTAAGTACACACATACACATAGACACACTTATATATATGCATAATACCAGCAATGATTCTTCTACCCTTTGAAGAATAGTCATGTGTTTATGTGTATATATTATCTTGGTTGAAATGAAATTTGTAATTTCATATGAGAATTAGGTGGTGGAGTGATCTTTACAACGATGTGAAGCTTACCTATGCTCGGAATCGCATCGTGGAGACATACTTGTACACCTGTGGAGTGTTCCATGAGGAGGAGAACTCTCGCGCACGACTAATGCTCGCCAAGGGGTTTGCACTTTTGAGCCTACTTGATGACACCTACGATACTCACGCCACCTTCAAGGAGTGCCAGATATTGACTGAAGCTATACAAAGGCACGATTGTTTTCATTGCTTCATTTCTCGCTAGCTAATACATATATATCCTCGTTGAACTAACTAATTTCTATGCAGATGGGATGAAAGTTGTGCTCCTATTCTACCAGAATACCTGCGCATGTTCTATGTCAAAATGCTGAGCAATCTCAGTGAATTTGAGGACAATTTGGAACCATGGGAGAAGTACCGCATGACTTATATCAAAGAAATGGTACTCCAATGCTCATCACAATTTGTAGTAGCTACTCCCTCCATTCCAAATTATAAGACATTTTGACTTTTTTACGTTATTATGTATCTAGACATGGTGTATATCTAAGTATATAGAAAAATCTATGCATGTAGAAAAAACAAAACGTCTTATAATTTAGAATGGAGGGAGAACTAATTAAATATCATGTCTACTTTAGCGTTAAGAGCTATATATTGGGACTTCTGTTTAATCTTATTATATTGTTACATTCTAATTTCATATAATGTCTTTTTATGATGATGTAATAACGAATTTCTTTAACTGTTCAGTTCAAATTGCAGTCCAAAAAATACCTTAAGGAGGCTGAATGGTTCAGCAAAAACTATACTCCAAGCTTCAAAGAGCATGTAGATGTGTCCGTTATATCGACAGGTGTGCCGATGCTGTTCCTGGTGGCGCTCATGGGTGCAGGTAAACTGGCAACCAAAGAAGCGTTCGACTGGGCGCTCCACATACCTGACATGGTGCGTGGGTGTGCAGAGACCGGCCGCTTCCTCAATGACATTTCTTCTTATTTCAAGGTATCGTTGCATTTGAATATTCGATTGAAATAGTATATATATGCCAGCCACTACTAAAATATTTGCTAGGCACTAGTAAAATGTACTAACACAGTCTCAGTTAAGACAAGAAAGGCCTCACCTATTATGTGTGCAATCAAACTTTAACCAGTTATAAAATTACTTCAAAATTAATGGCACAGTTGATTCGTGCATACATAGGTATAATATTGTAAGAATAGTTATTTTGTTTTACTTATTAGTGTCTATATGAGATCAACTTTATTATAACATGCATGCATACATGTTTGCACAGCCAAGGAGTAGCAAGATGGATGCGGCTAGCTCATTTGAGTGCTACATGAAGGAACATAGCATGACGCCAAGCGATGCAGTGGCGGCATTTGCCACAATGGTGGAGCACGCATGGAGGAGGATCAACCAGGGGTGTATGGAGTTGGACCGCGGAATACTACCAGCGGCGCAGCTAGCGGTGAACATGACAAGAATGAACGAGGTGTTGTACCTTCATGGCAGGGACGCCTACACCTCCAGTGATTTCCTCAGGGAAACTGCTGCTTCCTTGTTCCTGAAGGATTTTCCTATTTAAGCTTATTCTTTGCTTGAAATAATTGGTGTGAACAAGATATATACACACCCATCAGTGTTGCATCTGCTATATATCGGCACTAGTAATGAATAAAGGTTCTAGGCTTTAATTGTTGAGACGAATATACCCTAGCAATGACATTTAATTGTTGTGTGATGTTGTCGGCAATGTAGCCTCTTGTGGTTTATGAAACATGCATTCATCTCAAAACTCATTTGCAAAGACAAGTTCGGTTCTATAGTGCCCAAGTGAACTGGGAATCTTAGCAACTGACTCATGAACAGAGCCCCAAACCAGACACACAAGAACTGAATTATTCAGATAAAGTATGACACTCCATGCCAAAACTAGCCCAAGCATACTACCATACCATAGCCATCAAGCCAGGTAGCAATCCATTAACCATAGCTCAAGACTAGAACCTCTATTTCACAGAATAACTCAAATATAGATCATGTCATGTCTTAAAAAAAATTCAGACTCATTCCAAATAACTAGGCTTATCAAGAGAGAATATAGAGTTCGGTCGAAAACATTGCACAACCTTGCATCTTGCTCAAAGGCTGACATAATGATGATGGCTCCTAAAATGTTCAGAAAAGATGTATCGGAGATTAAGAGATATTCTGACATATACAGAATCAAATTAAAGACACGTACAGCTCTATCTACCGCAGGAACTTGTCAATGCAAGAACTCAGAACTCCATATATATAGACTTCTGACAGAAGGAAATACACAAACTCAGATTGAACTCCATACTGCATAATTACACTGCTCAAATTGTTGGATCAGTCAACATAACGATATATATGTTTTTCAGATGAGGAAGAGCAGCAGACTATTTAAGAGATTATTGACTGCAACACTGGACTGCTACCTGAGAATAACATTTCAGCTAATGGCAAAAATATGTAAACTACTAACTAGGAACTAGTACGAACGTACAATAGTTCCTGAACATGTAAATTACTACCATGATTCCCATCATCATAACTGCTCCCTCAACTTGCCACATGCATATGAAACACTCAACTGCAGTTCAGTTCTGATAATATTCCAGCAATTACACATGAGCTACTCACATGATGCAGTTCAGAAATAACCCATCACAAGCTTCCAAACAATTATATGCTTGGTTAGCAAGTATTCAGTAGTTCATTACTATCAAACTCAAGAAAGTTGATCAAAACAACAGTGCAGCCTACCTGAATGTGGTTGCTGATACTATTGGCAGTGAGGGACAATCATCTCAGGCAAACAACATGACAATAAATTTATTTTCGAGAACACGACTTCATGCGTATTTCATTAAGAAGGGAGCCGAAAGAACGGCATACACGACGCATCTATGAGATCTTGGGAGATCACATAGTGCTGGCAGAGAGAGTGGTTAGGAACCTAAACCGAGACCACCCACCACAAACCTAACCGACTACATGAGGGTGTCCATCACGCACTCTGCAGCAACTGCATGAGGGGGAGCCCAAAGCGACGTCGGCAGCAAAGCATCCGCCCAAGCGCAAGCGGCCATGCATCCGCTACGAAGAACCAAACGACTGCGGCAACACCAAACACCAGGCTGGACAGACCAAGGTGGAGAGTAAGCTAAAGCACACGCAGGCGCAGCACAGCGAGGAGCCACTTCGACAGGAGAAGCGAAATGACAACAGAAGTGCCCCAGTGAAGCCTCAAAGAAGGGGATGACATCCGCAGGCGCCAACGACGCTGGAAGGAATGCACAAGATGCACTTTCGTCCCAAAGCCGCCCCCGACGACACACGCGGCGACGGCAATAGCCGGAGGTGAGGCGAGGACGGGGTGGCCCTAGGGCGCCGGCGAGGAGACCCCCGAGTCGCCCTTAGGAGTGCTCCACATGACAATAAATATATGCTCAGCTGAAAAAGGAAGCAGCTGATGGTTAAACTGCAATCCAGCGAGACCAAAGGTCTGGCTGGCCATTAACCGGTTGTGATGGTAAGATTATACAACCGGTTTTTCACTATACCTGTGACCTTCTATGATGATCTGGTTATGTCAATAAACATGGAAATTACGTTACATCCAAAACCTATAGTGCTTGTGTGATGAAAATTCATTCATCACCTATCATGCGTGTTAAATCATGTTATGCCACTAAAACGCGTTTCTTTCCATAATAGATGAAGTGACAATACTCCTATCGTCATTAGGTTACGATGCTTGTTTTCAGCATTATCATGTCGAAAAGACATCACAAAATGTATTATAATTTGAAATGGAGGGAGTACCTTGCAAAGACAAAAGTACGATACCTCTAGCGATAGAAGTGTGGCACCAACAAGTGTCACCACCAATGATATTAGGTTATCACTCCCACCAGCAATGTCCATGGAACAAAACACTGTTATGCCAAGCAACTAACATTGAAGCATCTATAAGGAGGTGCCGCCTATAGATGGCCTACCAACCCTACAGCAACCCTAGGTGCACATTCCAATCAGAACCTTTTGGAGAGCCTTTCATACTGGACACAGGAGAACCGGCCAGACTAGTTTCTGCGAGTATTGTAACAAGGTGAACTTCATGTGATCCGTGCGTTCTAGCACTGTTGGTGTGGGATTAGATTTGTGTCAACACCTCCACTTCTTGACTCATCCCCCACTCCCTACACACATGCCAGATACCCACTATTCCTCAGTAAGGGCTTGCAAATTGAAAACTATAGAGAATCATATATGGTGCATAGTGTTAAAAAACTGAGAACTAGCTCCCATCATAATGTGACAGAAGATCACTTGATAAATTATCTAACCTATTTATAAAATTTAGAACTACATGTACTTCCCACAAAAAAAATTGCTGTATCTAAAAATTGCATCACAGTGAAATTTACATATATAAGCTTAAATGAAGGGCGAGCTAGCTTAGTTGTTGTTTAGGTTCCTTATGGTTAAACCTGTTTACGCAAGTTACATTCAAGTCTCCAACTCAGCATATTGTGCTTAGAGTTAAATGCACCATATAGATCCATTAACTTGTGAGAATGTTTCAATTAGGTCCATCAACTTTCAAAGTGGCATTTTGGGTCCATCAACTTTGTATGCCGTATCACTTAGATCCATATCCCTCCACACGGGCTTCTCATGCTAATGTGTCCTGTTGACTTGTCCATCTGAAGCAACTATATATTGACCGATCATTTCGTCCACGTTGTGGGCGCGTGAGTAGGCGCCACCGCCGCGGTCACACGGGCGCGCGAGCATGCCCGCCACGGCCACGTGGGAGCACGAGCAGACCCGCCGCGGCCACACGGGCGTGTGAGCAGACACCGCCGCCGTCGCTGACGGGGATCCGCGGCTGGCACGAGGCGTATAGCTTTGAGTACGACCCGGTGACGGAGCGGCACAAGGTCGTGCGTGTGCTGTGCTACCTTGATCGGACCGACGGCTTCAATGTGCTGCAAGTGTTCACGCTTGGGGACGCGGTGGGGTGGCGGGACATCCTGGTCCTCGGTGGGAGCTGCCGCGTGGACGCCGGGCTCATCAGCATCGGTGGCGTCACGCACTGGGTCACCAGGGACATGGAGTGCATCGAGGAAGAACGCAACGGCGGCGGCGCCTGCTCGCGCGCCCGCGTGGTCGCACCGGCGGCCGCCTGCTCGCGCGGCCACGGCAGCGGACAACCCCTTGGGCCGCAGCACCTGCTCACACGCCCACTGCGGCGCCGGCGGCACCTGCTCGCGTGCCCACCACGTGTTTGACGAAATGAAGGGTCAATAGTTGCTGCGGATGGACAAGTCAGTGGGCCACCTCAGCATGATAAGCCCACGTGAAGGGATATGGACCTAAGTGATACGACATATAAAGTTTATGGACCCAAAAAACCAGTTTGAAAGTTGATGGACCCAACTGAAACCTCCTCACAAGTTAATGGACCTCTAGTGCATTTAACTCTTGTGCTTACATTTTAATCTAGTTATTTGTTTAGTGGTAGCGAAGTGCTTGTCATAATGAGACGGTTGTGATGATTACGCGGATCTCAACGTCTATTGGCTCAGTCTATTTAAGATATTCATATGGATAGGATGTGCATACATGTGTTCATGGGTCATGTGTGTTTATATGAGCACCAGCACTACTTATTCTTTAAAAAGAAGGGAAACAATAGTGGTGATGATAAGTATATCGCACCAAATTAATTTGATAATTTGCACCTCCTAAAGTTGATAAGTACATCCCACCAAAGCAATTTGTATCTGCTCAGAATGATCTCTAGGCAACTTTTTTTTTTTTGCTAAAGATATATAGTGTCAAATATAATATATATGTAAGCTTCTGCTCATTTGCACCAACATTATGACAGATGGTTTGGCCTCCATACCGGCGAACATTCAGTTTGTAGTCGCTGATGATTTAGCTCCGTCTCATTAATGGAAATATATTTTCCCCTAAAAAAACTTTATGACAGATGGTTCACTACTGTACCCCTCACTCCCTCCGTAAATTATGGAGCAAACTGAGTATTATAGACCGGGAAGCCGCAGATCAGAGCTGATGACCCTTATATATACCTGCTGACTGCTGTTGCTATATATGCAAATTTGATCAACTGAGCGAGGTTAGATACGAGTAGTCCAGCCAAGAATACCTCACCAAAAACTTTTCTGGTACTTGCGTGCACCATAGAGTGGCCGAAGACTATATATGTGATCAAAGCAAGATCTCCCAAAAGGAACGACAAACATGTTCCTTCCGCGTGCAAATTAATTAAAAGGACGCTGCAAAGTGCTTTTGCTAGCTAGCTACTATATGCAATCCTAATCGATGCTTCGGAATCCTGATTAAAATACAATCACCACGTCTGAAACAATCATTGCATCTTTTTTATTTTTGAAAATGAACATCAGTGCAATGTGCTAGGCGATAAAAACCATGCCAATCACTGAGAATTCCATGGAAGGTACTGTACTTTTGTCCCCTCATCCTCACTATGATGGCCTCCTCCTCCTTTGTGAGTTGTAGTTTTTCTATGAGGTCTTAGACAGTACGCTCTACTCTGTCGCGCCGAACTCACCTCCAATCTCCTTCACCGATGAGACACACCGGTTGTCACTGCTTCTCGTTACCCAAATCCTTAATCCTGATCTGTTCAAAGGGATCAGATGCAGGAATCAAAAGCCACGTCTAGACTAGGAGCAAGAGGCTCCAATCCTAGAGGCCAGCAACCGCTGGAGCCCCTATAGGATGAAAAATAGGCGGCACCGGTACTGGAATGGTACTATGGTAGTAAGCGAATATGTGGATACTAGGGTTGGATTGACTGTCGATGAGGAGTGCAAGTGGTGCTGGTCTAACAAAGCAGTGGTGGATGTCGAAACATCAATGCAACCACCCTAGAAATGCCTTGATTTTAAGGGACAGTCGGTAAAACAAATTGTCCCTAGAATGATATTTCTAGGTTTGGCCGTGTTATGAAGCACCCTTGAAGATTGAGGTAATCTAAGGGCAGTGAATAACATCGACCGCCCTAGAAACCAATTTTTAGAGTTGGTTTGTAAGCTAGGATCTAAAATGATTTTTAGGGGTGGTTGAAATGATACAAATGTGCCTCTAAGTAGGAAAAAAAATCAATAGGACAGTCCTCCTTAAGCAGTCATGGACACCTATGATACGTAGGTGTCCATGCGTATACATCTAACACGCAGGAGTTGTTGCTTAAATTTAGGAGGAACAGCTGAAAAGAAACTATAGCTTTCTTATGTGTGAATCCACCTCCACGGACCACGGCTGCCCCATGAGAACTTAACTCTAAGCAGCGGCGATTGCCTCCCCGATTGACCTCCGTAATTTTCGGAGAGCCGTGACCATGGTGCCGGGTGTTAGATGCCAAGAAAAGGTATTCGCGTCTGATTGGCAGAGGAGGACCCTCTTTTCAAAAGCTTACAGACCCACCCCCCAATACATATCCTGAAGCGATGATAGAGGAAGGAATAATCACCCAGACCGCGATGGCGACCATATCCTCCTCGCTAGCGTCGTCTCTGCTGCCATTGTTGTGCTTGCTACTGGCAGCTGCCGCCAACCAGCAGCAAGAGCAGCCAACTCCAGCGTTGCCGCCCATCACGCTGGCAGGCTGCCCCGACAAGTGCGGCAACGTCAGCATCCCCTACCCTTTCGGCACCAAGGACGGCTGCTTCCGTCCAGGCTTCTTCGTCGTCTGCAACGACACCTTCGATCCGCCCCGCCCCTTCATCAACTCCAGCCTCGTGCTCGGCGACGACGACACGAGGACGCAGATCATCGTCGAGGACCTGTACTACCTGACCTCCAAGGACCACGAGACGACACCCAACTGGTCCGCGCGGCCGATCGAGCTCGTCAGCGTGTCTCTCGCGGACGGGAAAGCGCGGCTGCTGGGTGCCTTCAGCTACGAGTGCAGGCTGAACATGACGCACCACTCGGTGCGGCGGCAGAGTATCAACTTCGGCCTCAACGACTCGCCGTTCGTCCTGTCGGACGCCGACAACGTGCTCATGGGCATCGGCAGCAACGTCGTCGCCGAGCAGACCACCGGCCCGCTCTGCCAGTCCTACCTCAACCCGAACGTCACCTACCAGGGGCTGGTACGAAAATGTTTTACCACTACACAGTTTCAAAATTACCATATATTTTAAGAGAATTATATATGCTATTTGAGTTGTGCACCAGGATGATTTCCGCGTTGGCAGCGGGGATCTGATCACGACCGCCCCTGTCAACGACCGCCCCGTCAACGGGTCCTGCGCCGGGCAGGGCTGCTGCCACGTCAACCTGCCAAGCGTCCGCTCCGGCAGCAAGGTGACCATCAAGAAGGGCACCATGTACGAGGACGACAGCGGCGGCGGCCCGTCTCCTGCTCCTACGCCATGATCGTGGAGAAAACGTGGTACAACTTCTCGTCGGTGGACCTCGACAACGACGCGTTCCTGCGGAGGAACGCCGCTGGGGTCGTACCCGTCGTGGCAGACTTCACCATCGACTTAGGTGGATGTCCCGAGGCCGGCGAGCCGACGCCCAAGGACTTCGCCTGCATAAGCGACAACAGCGAGTGCGTGGACCGGCCGGCCGGCGAGTCGACGGGGCACTACTGCAGTTGCTCGGTTGGGTACCAAGGGAATCCATACATCCATGGAGGATGCCAAGGTACGTCCGTTGTGACTCGTATTTGGTGGTTGCCAGAGCTCCTCGGTATAGGGATGCAAACGGATCGGTTTTGCATGGAATTGGACCCGGATGTCAATATTTTACAACTTTTTCGGGAATACAAAAATAACATCTCGGATTCACATTACTATTTGGATATTTTACTCACATTAACTCAAAGTGTATATATTATTAAATTCAACATATTCGGGTTTCTATTTGGATAGTTACATTACTCAATTGAACTCAAAGTGTATATTATCAAATTCGACATAGATGAATCGAATTTTACTACTAAGTTCGTAGATAACCAAAGTGAAATAAAATCAAAGTACACTTCTAATAATCTTTAATATCAAAGTAAACTAAACTATAATGGATAATATTTAATAAAATAATAGATTAAGTGAAGAAATTTAAATAAGAATAGTAGGCGACAAGTAGTCAGTTTGTTTTATCAATTTTTTTAAGCACAAAATTATTAAACAAGTAGAGAATGCAGTATGTAGGAATAGCTCATAAAAAATAATAAAGTTATCAATAAATATTTTGTAATTAAATATATCAATTAATCAATCATTATTATATAATATTTATCATAATTATAAATTATATAAAATAATTTACACCATAAAAAAATAAATTAAAGTATTCAAATAATTTGTACAAGAAATATATTAGGTTTAAACTAAATTAGAAAAATATTAAAATTAATTTAATATTTACGTATCATTAATAGTATTAAATTAATATTAAAAGTTACTTATAGATATACTACTAAATAGTTTCAATGCATCATTAATAATATAAAATTATATAATTAGTCACTAATAATGGAGAGAAAACTTTTAAATAGATTCATTATACCTTGTTCTTTGTGGATACGAATAAATGTCGAATATTCCATATTATTGTGAAATATGGGTATGGAATCGGATAGAGAAAAATACTGGAAAACGAATTCGGATACATCCATTTAGTATCCACTGTAGAAACGTATACGGATATCTATATTATAAGTTTTAACGGGTACAAATTCTGATAATTTCGGATTTCCATACTTTCATTTCCACCCCTACTCCTCATCGGAGCAGATTTTCCATGAGAATCACTTCTCCTCATCCCAACAACTAAGAAATTAGGAGCTAAACGAATTTCTCATCATTGCTCTCTATTCAATCCCTACTAGAAACAATTACCACTAGCTCCACCACCAGAATTAAGTAGAATCATTCCACTGGAGAATCAAAGAGCAAAGAGAGAATTTAGGAGTGGAGCTCTGCCAAATAGGCCGATGGACACAGAAAGCCAAGTCACTTTGTTCGGGAACATTAAAAAAAGTTCAATTGGTCGATGGACACATTGGTTTTGTGAAAATTTTGGTAGAAGACACGGAAAGAATTGGGTGAGGATGGTCCTCACTAGGACGCCATGCCGACCTGCCCCTGATTTAGGATGCGTGGAGGTTGGTAGCATCTGGAAGCAAAATACGCAGCAAAGTATGACAGGAAGTTGTGGTCCGTGGAGCCCGCATGGAACCAACCAATTAGGTGTAATCTTTCATCCAGTTGGCATGAAACAAGGGTAGGCCTGCATGGCGTGCTGGTGAGGACGGTCCCCATCTATTTTTTCCCAAAGACACTACTCTTATTAAAATTTCAATTTTCGAATCAAGGACAATGAAATGTCATTTTTACAACTTATCCTTTCTTCTTCATTCCTCATGTTCTTATTTTTAGATTCAGGAAAAACGTTGCGGCCTCAGCTTATCAAAGTTTGAAAGCCTATAGCCAAAGTGGTACAACACTGCATTACTTAGACTGACCAACCAAAACAAAAAAAAACAAAAGAGAAGACATAGGGTGTGTTTGGTTTCATGGTTTATTTCTAGCCTGGTTAAAATCTTGGCCTGAGCAGTTTTAGCCTGTTCCCAACAAGTCAATTGCTAGTTGTTTGGTTGCCTGCATTATCTAAGCCTGACTAACAAATGGTGTGTTTGGTTGCCTAGTTTACGTTGCATAGAATCACCTCTTCTGAGCTTGGTAACTTTACCCCCCCCACCCCATGAGACATTTTCACAAACATGTGGTGGGTTTTGCTACTCGACGCCATAGCTCGGGGCCCGGCCTTCTCGGACCCCCGCACCCACGCCCCAGACGGCCTTCCTGCTGCTCAGTTCTCTTTCATGGCAGACGAGAACGGCGACCATTTGGGCGAGCACCTCCTCCACCTCGGCAGCATCTGGGCGTGCGGCTCCAGGATCGTGGCCTGATGATGCGTCGTGGTGGCATGGCGCCTGAAGCTCTCGAAGGTCACACCGACGGTGACGGTGGTCAACACCGCCGACCTCATCGCCAAGTGAGAGATGACTATCCTCTAGCAGGTCCTCCCGGACCTCACCATCCGGATCGTCCTGCAGGCCTGCAGCACAGGCACGTCTTCTTCCAGACACTCTTCCTCGGCGGGTGCTCCGACCTCCTGAACATGATGCGCGGCCTCTTCCCGGAGCTCGGCACGACGGCGGCCGACTGCAACGAGATGAGCTGGCTGCGCGCTATGGCGTTCATCTACTTCGGCAACACCAACACACCGGTGGAGGCGCTCCTGATCCGAACCAACAACATGGGCAACTACTACTTCAAGAGCAAGTCGGACTCCATGCGCCACGTCGTCGGCAAGGCCAGGTGGGACAGCCTGTACCACCAGTGGCTCTCGGAGAACGGCAACGGGCAGATGATCCTGGAGCCGCACGGCGCGGCGGTCCGTGAGCATCTAGGCGAGCATCGCGGCGGCAGCGTTGGGTGGCGAGGTGTCGGTGCCGCGGAACTTCCAGCGCAGGCGCATCTCCGGCGGCCAAGCCAACGAGGAGCACGAAGGAGCAGAGGTGAGAGGTGAGGAGCAGCGCTGAGCAGTGAGAGAATCGTGCACGCGAGCTCAGCCGGAGCCTTGCTCCAAAAGAACGACCGATCTCTGTTGGGTGGCTTCCTGGAGCCTGGCTTTAGCCTCTAAACGGACAACCAAACAGCCTCAAGGTGGCTCGCCCAAGCCTAGTGGGGGGTTAGTCATCCAACCAAATAGATCCACAGTTTCATCAAAACAAGATACCTCTCTCATCACCCATCTAGTGCTTAATAAGGTTTCTTTAACTCAAGCCATACCCCTTGAAGATCTCCATTGTAATGACCAAAGTCTTCAGGGTTCTCTCCTCTTCCTCTTTAGATATTTGTGAACTCCTGATCCAATGTGTCCCTTTAAAGATGACCTCCACAAAAGAGTTAGGTACATGTTGTTTGAAGATAACCTCATTCCTACTTAACCAAAGAGCCCAACACAAGGCGGCTGCTCCAATTAGAATCGTGTTTCTAAACTTCATAGAGAAGCTCCTAGCCCATGAACTAAACTGTAGAGAATAGGAATAGGAGCTAACAGGGATTCTATTGCCTCATCGGTGAAATATATATGTGTTATAACATGCTGCGCTAGGGGTGCGGACTCGTGGTCGTGGGCGCGCCCCTATGACCAGCTAACTAACTCACACAAAGCTGTGGGTTACAACACCACCCCCGTAGTCTGAGGGTCGTCACGACGAGGTAGGCACGACGCACAGACTATTGCGGAAAACTTCAAACGTCGAGGTGGGCAACTCTTTCGTCATGATGTCGGCATATTGCTCTCCGGTGGGCACGTGCAGGACGCGCAGATTGCCCAGCTGAACTCATTCGTGAACAAAGTGAATGTCCAGCTCTATGTGCATGGTACGCTTGTGATGCACCGGGTTGGCCGACATATAGACGGCGGAGACGTTGTCGCAGTAGGCCACATTAGCCTTGTTGACGTCGCAGCGGAGCTCACCGAGGAGTTGTCGCAGCCATATGCACTTAGCAGCAGCGTTGGTGACGGCACGGTACTCGGCCTCCGCGCTGGAACGGGAGATGGCCGGCTGTTGCTTGGATGACCAAGAAACCAGCACGTCGCCTAGAAATACGCAAAAGCCTGATGTCGAACGCTGAGTGTCTGGGCAACCAGCCCAGTCCGCCTCGGAGTATGTTGTGATGTCGAGACACGGCGAGGCACGGAGACAGAGCCCTAGGTTTGTGGTGCCTCGCACATACCAGAGTAGGCGCTTGAGCAGGGCGAGATGGGGCACCCTTGGATCATGCATATGCAAGCACAGCTGCTGAACGGCGAAGGCAAGATCTAGTCTTGTGATGGTCAGGTACGGTAAGGCCCCGTCCAAGCTTCGGTAAGTGGCAGCATCATCAATTTTGTCACCATCGGCGGACAACTTCCCCTTTGCGTCAATCGGAGTCATGGACGGCCTGCAGCTGCTCATACCGGCACGCTCGAGGATGTCTTCGGCATAACGTTGCTGGGACAAGTAGAAGCCATGAGCATCTCACTTGACGGCGATGCCGAGGAAGAAACTTGGCTCGCCGAGATCCTTAACGGCGAACTCGGCACGCAGGCGCTGAACAATGTGCTGAAGAAGACCCGGACTAGAGCCGGTGAGCACCATGTCATCCACACACAAGAGGAGGTAGGCGATATCATTGCCTCGACGAAAGATGAACAACAATGAATCAGAACGAGTAGGGGTGAAGCCGATGGTGATCATGAACTTGGCAAAACGATCAAACCAAGCCCGGGGAGCCTGTCGAAGTCCATAAAGAGACTTATCCAGGAGACACACAGCACCAGGATGAGCAAGGTCGGTAAAACTAGTAGGCTACTGGCATAGAACTTGCTCCTGCAGTCGGCCATGAAGAAAGGCATTAGATACATCTAGCTGCCGAGTTGGCCACTGCCGGGAGACGGTGATAGTGAGCACTGTCCGAATCGTCGCCGGCTTGACGATGGGCGTGAAGGTTTCGCCGAAGTCAACACCGGCGCGCTATGTAAATCCCCGGACCACCCAACGGGACTTGTAACGATCAAGAGACCCACCAGGACGGAGTTTATGTGTGAAGACCCATTTTCCCGAGATGATGTGGGCTCCGGGCGGGCGATCAACAAGACGCCATGTCCGATTGGATTGTAGGGCGTGGAATTTCGCTTCCATGGCAGCGTGCCAGTTTGGATAGCGAAGAGCAGCACGAGCCGAGGAAGGGATGGGCAAGATCGCAGCACCGCTGGAGGATGGAGGCGAGGGATTGGTGCTGAGGGCGTAGCGCGGATTTGGCTTATGGATGCCGGCCTTAGCCCACATCAGCATTGGATGAGTAGGCACGGGCTGTGCTGGTGGTGAGGAGTGGCCGGCGCCGCGGTCACCACGGGCGATGTCGTAGACCCAGGGGCAGTTGCAGTCGGAGATGCCGATGCATGGGGAAGTGGAGACGCAGAAGGGTGCGCCGGAGATGGATGATGCATCAGAGCATGCTGGACTGCCGGAACAGGCTATGGAAGCACGACAAGCTCTGTTGTTGAACCAGCTACAGTCGTGAAGGAGAAGAAACGACTGTTTCGCTGGAGCGAAAGGGAAATTGGGTTTCATCAAACACCACATGTCTGGAGGTGATTACCCAGTGAGATTGAAGATCAAAGCAGCGGTACCCGCGATGATCACTAGGATAGCCAAGGAGGACACATGCTGTTGATCAAGCACCGAGTTTATGTGGTGCAACAGAAGCTTGGTTCGGGTAACAGAGGCATCCAAATACCCAGAGATGATCATAGCATGGTGGTGCACCGAGCAATAGCTAGTGAGGAGTTAGTGAACCACTCGCTTGACAAGGGCGTCGATTGACAAGATGTGTGGTGGTGGAGAGGGCCTCAACCCAAAAAGATGGAGGCATGCTGGCATGGAGCAGTAAGCTGCGGACGCAATCATTTAGAGTATGCAGAATGCGCTCAGCTTTGCCATTCTGAGGGAAAGTATAGGGACACGAGAGACGAAAGGCAATGCCATGAGCAGCAAGATGCGAACGCAAAGCATTGTTATCAAATTCTTTGCCATTGTCTGACTGAAACACAATAAGGGGAAGTTGAAATTGAGTGCAGACATGGGCATGAAAGGATAGTAAGCAAGCAAACACATCTGATTTGTTACGCAGTGGGAACGTCCACACATAGTGAGTGAAATCATCAATAAGAACAAGGTAGTACTGGAAACCAGAACAACTAGTCCAGACATCGGCATGAACAAGCTAAAATGGAACATAACTAACTGTGTCTGAGGAAGTAAAAGGTACACGAACATGTTTCCCTAACTGACAAGCAAAACATAGATGGGTAGATGACTTAGAACAATTGAAATCAAGATGACGCAATGTCTGTTGAAGTGAACGACGCCCGGGATGCCCCAACCGGAGATGCCACAGCTCAAGAGAAGGTGAGGAGGACGCAGTGGCAACTAGAGCTGCCGGCGATGATGACGCGAAGGGGTACAAATCGCCAGTGCTGTTACATCGGAGGAGCACCGTCCGTGTGGGGATAGCCTTGATGGAAAAACCAAGCGGGTCAAATTCAACAGTAACGTTGTTGTCGCAAGTTAAAGATCGAACAAAAATAAGGTTTTTGACTAAAAGGGGGAAATCAGAATGTTGTTAAGATGAAGAGATGAACGAGGTGTAGGAATTGTGGTAGATGCTCGATGGGTAACAGGAAGAAGAGCGTCGTTGCCAACAGCGATGGGAGCAGAATTGGGAAGGGGTTCAGAGGAGATGAAGTTACCAGTGTTGGCGGCCATGTGGGACGTGGCTCCAGTGTCTAGGAACCATTCGGATGCTTGTGGGCCGGACGGTGGGATGCCGGAGTTCACTAGTGCGGCTAGCAGGGCCTGGTGGTTCCAGACGTCAGTGGGAGATGGTGGAACACCAGCAGGAGGCACAGGTGGTTGTGGAACTGTGCCACCAGGAGCTTGAGGGAGAGAGCCAGTGAAGTACGCATGTTGGGTAGGTGTTCCTAGACGAGGGTCGAGGACGCCGGCGCCTGGAACGCGGAATGGCATTGACCACGCCTACACCATGCTAGTTCACGGATTGAGGCCAGGCATCCAACCAGTCTGCTGAGGGCGAGGCGCGTTGGAGGAAGGTCCGCCGGTGCCTGATCCACAGCCATGACCGCCCTTCTTCTTGAAATTGCGGTTGGAGTCTGGGCGGTTACGGATTCCATAGCCAGCTAGAGGAGGCCATGGAGCCGAGGTGGTGGAGCTGGTGCTAGAACCATCATCGCCGGCAAGGGCACCAAGGGAACCGCCATCGCCACGAGAACCGCTAGTGGTCAGGAGAGCTTGATGCTGGGCGGCCTTGGCATGCTCGCGGTCATACTGCTCCTCCAGCAGCAGATACGAACGCGCGGAGCGGAAGGTATGTGGCGGGTTCTTGGAGGTGATGACATGAACGTACGACATGGCAAAACTTGGAGTTAAGACCCCGGAGCATGTTGAGAACCTGCGAGGTTTCGCGCACCGGCTGGCTGACGTCGCACAGAGCATCGGCAAGCTTCTTGAGGCGGCCGGTGTATGTCGTCACATCCATGTCACCTTGAACCAGACTACGAAACTCCACCTCCAAGTAGACGGCGTGGTGGCGCTCATTGTCGCGAAACTGATCATGGATGGCATCCAGATGGTGAACGCCGTAGCTTTAGGGGCGCGGGCAATGGCACGAACATCTTTTGGAGATGGAGTTATAGAGCCAAGAAAGAATGCACTGATCACGCATGGTCCAATCTAGATCGCGGCGATCGGAGGGGGTAGGTGGGGTAGTGAGGTGATTGCTGAGGCCAAATTTGCCCACAAAGGCATAAAAGAAGCATCGCCACTCCGTGTAGTTGGATTCAGCGATGTCAAGCTCGACAGGGACATGGGTTTTGATGTTGACGGTTTGGAGGACGACCGCCGGTGGCGTGGTCACGGCAGGCACGGTGTAGGAGTCACCATCAACGGAGGCGGAAGAGGTGGAGGAGGACTCGACGTCGGAAACGTCGGCGTTGAAGAGCGGGTTGGCGTTGACGTCCATGGCAACGGATCGCGGCGAGCGCGTGGGAAGAGGAAGCAGCGGAAGAGAAAGGCAGCCGCGGTGATCGCGGCGAGCACGGCGGTTGCGGAGTGGAAGAGGAAGGCAGCCGCGGTGATCGCGGCGAGCTCGGCGGTTGCACTGCGATGGATTGGATCAGGAGGAAACCCGCGCGGCTGATACCATGTAGAGAATAGGAATAGGAGCCAACAGGGATTCTATTGCCTCATCGGTGAAATATTTATGTGTTACAACATGACGCGCCAGGGGCGCGGACTCGTGGTCGTGGGAGCCCCCCTATGACCAGCTAACTAACTCACACAAAACTGTGGGTTACAACACAAACATATGATCAAATAGGAGGGTGACCCAAACATTCCTCCTATTCTTCTATATAGTTTTCCTGCTGCCCTATGATGCCATGCCTCAGAGCATGCTCCATAGGCCGCAGCCATGCTGTGCGTAGGACCCGCCATTGCGCCGCACGAGACTGTCACGCGTGAGTTTCCCACCGCTATCGTGCGAGAGGCGCCTCCACACCAAAGCGCCTTCCCTTGCCGCAGCCCAACATGCCCACTCCTCCATGAGGTCGAGCAAGGCGAACCCGGCGGCGGATGCAGGAAATAGAGACCGGTTAGATGTCAAATTGAAAGCGATCGGGAAGCTTGCGTCGAAGTTGGCATATTCTAGTTACTAAAACGCATCTTTGGACGGCATAAGTGGTGAGAAGTTCTCCTTGGGCGGAAGGCAAGGTGTTTGTACATGATGCCGGTGGTTCGAAGTTGGTTGTGGGAGATCATGGCAGGACCACACATCTCGTGTGCACCCACGCTCGCCGGGAGAAGGGCGGAGGTCCGCCGGCACACTAGGTTTGCCAGCTGCCATGCTCTGTCTGCTCCCTAAATCTGCAGTAGTGACAACACAGGGCAACAAAAGTCATTATTTGTAAACATTCTTTCTCCTCTTTTGCCAAAAATAAATATTTTAATGGCCGCGATGTCTTCTAACAAATTTTTTTTATAAATCACAGAGTCCATCAAGTCATTGAACATTTTTTTTAATGTTCCCCGGCAAAGTGACTTTACTTTTAGTAACCCCTACCAATTTTGCCTACTTGTATATACCACACGCTTGTCTACTTGTAGGTACTGTACAATTTTTTTTTTTTAACTGAAGAAGTAATATTTGTTTTTTTTTATCTTGGGTAGACATTGATGAGTGCGCTCGGCCAGACATGTATCCCTGCCACGGGAAATGCAAGAACACGCCAGGAGATTACGAATGTAGCTGTCCAGCCGGAACGAGAGGAAATGTAAAAGAGGCGCCGTGTACCGACTTGTTCTCTCTGCCTGCCAAGATATCCGTAGGTAAGATACGTACTAGGTGATATTTAACTTTAGTTAAGTCACATAACTAGAGGAAAGGCAAAGTTATTCGAGAAATTCATTTTCCATTCGTAGGGACCCAAATAGGACCTGAAAAGTACTCCTCAGCTAAAAGAAAATTTCTAACAAGGATGCATAAGATTTATTTACTCCTAAAGTACTTACTGTTAAGTTGGACAAGGGGCAACTTAGGTGTTGTGAGTTGTGAATCATGATGACTCTAGTAATTTGGTGTCCACCACAAATTATTATTTGCAGGGGTGGGGCCAAAAATTGCAAGGGCCCAGGCTGACAGTGTTGTTCAGCTGCTTGACACATCTTTAGTTTTTCATAGGCTTTTTGTTGAGTTCAGTCAATCCATTATCAAAATAATTTTCCTTTCATATTTGGCTTTATTACTCTACATTTAAATGATTTCATTGGTTTATTTACAATGTTTTAATGTTTTCTGAACTATTAAGAATTTATGGGACAATAAGTTTGTTTCTACTTCACGTAGGAATGGTTGGTGGCCTTTTTATAATAGCACTACTGGTGTTCACTATCCTAATACACAATGAGAAAAGGAAGATGACAGAATTTTTCAAAAGAAATGGAGGTCCAACATTAGAGAAGGCAAAAATTATTAAGATTTATAAGAAGGGTGAGCTGAAGCCAATCTTGGAACCAAGTAATTTTATTGGAAGAGGTGCCTTTGGTGAAGTTTATAAGGGCTTTCTAGACAATCAGTTAGTTGCAGTAAAGAAGCCAATTGATGGCAATGCGGATACGACAAAAAAATGATCAATTTGCCAATGAAGTCATTATCCAATCACAAGTGATCCACAAAAACATTGTGAAGCTAATAGGTTGTTGCCTTGAAGTTGATAAGCCGATGCTTGTTTATGAGTTTGTCTCCAAAGGTAGTTTGGACGATATTCTTCATGGAAGCAGTTGTGCTCCAATAACTTTGGAATGTCGTTTAAATATTGCTGCAGAATCAGCAGAAGGTCTAGCTTATCTACATTCAAAAACGACAAACACAATTTTACATGGCAATGTGAAACCAGCTAATATACTTTTGAATGATACCTTCACACCAAAGATCTCTGACTTTGGTATCTCAAGGCTGATTACGACAGGTAAAGAGCACACGGATTGGGTCATTGGTGACAAGACTTATATGGATCCAGTATATCTACAGGACGGGCTACTAACTGATAAAAGTGATGTCTATAGTTTTGGAGTTGTCCTCTTGGAGCTCATAAGTAGGAAGAAGGCCACTTATGTTGACAATAATAGTTTGGTAAGGAACTTTTGCAATGCTCACAAAAATCAAAAGGAAGCAACCGAGTTATTTGATAAGGAAATTGCAAAACCAGAAGTTTTGAAACTTCTTAATAGTCTCTATGAGATTGCAATGAATTGTCTAAATCTTGATGTGGACAAAAGGCCGAACATGATAGAAGTAGCAGAGAGTCTTCTGATGTTGAAGAGATCTTGGAACAATACATTGATAGGTCATGTGTCAATTGATTGATATATGTTATAGCGTGTGATCGTGTTTGTGGAATATGGTAACAAGTAACTACTAGTTAGTGTGCCAGTTGATTAATATATATTATATTGTAATGTTGAGTTTGTGGAATAAGGTAACAACTATTAGTGTGATTGTGTATGCATCTACTGTTTAACCAAACTTTGCTAAGCAATAGAGATCTCACCCTTGGTTGAGAATAAACATGCATGTGTATGTGTTATAATTTGTAACTCAGTTCAATACACTTACAAACTTAGTGCTACAATATATTCATCATCCTCAAGTCCTCAACATTTTGTAGCTTCACAAATCATTTATGCTAAAAGACACTTTTGTTTTGTTGTTGATAATAATAGGTTCTCCATATTTCGAATGACAAACCCAAAGATAATTTGACCCAAGCATGAAGAAACCATGGTCACAAATCATTTATGCTATGCTATTAGAATGCGCTCTCTCTATAGAGGGAGCGTGGGCCTCCCTTATATAGCTTTCTAAGGGACCCAGTTATAGTGAGACATACACACACACACACACACAGAGAGAGAGAGAGAGAGAGAGAGAGAGAGAGAGAGAGAGATGGAGGATAAAGGAGAAAAGAAAGGGCTTTCATCCTTTGCTCGATTGTGCATCGTCCTTCATCCTTATCCTTCCAGTGCAGCGCATACCTGCCATTGTAGCCCTACAGGTACCAACGTTGTGGCATTAGTGGTGTACAGGGGCAAGGATGGCCTGTGCCGGTCACTTTTGAGTTAGGGTGTTTACAGTGTTGTTAAGGTAGGAGGCTACTATTATGTAATAGGTCTATAAATAAGATAGGAAGCTTCCCTAACCAGCTATCTCTTTTTATCTCAGTAATTTTCATTTTTCTAGCCTAAGACTCTAGTTTGCCTAAGTATTTTCCTATTGTTGAGATCGGCGGTGTAGAGAGTGATTCCTCTGCTATGTTTAATCTTTTCTCTCTAAGAACTAGATCTAGTTGATCTTTAACATCTGTGTCTATGTTCTTGCTTTGAGTTGGATTTGAATTTTCTTCTACGATTCCCTCCCCTTCTCCGTTCTGATGGATTTTGTGTTCCAGCAGTTTGAGGAATATTTTGAGGTGTTGGATACGTGCTAGGACCTCTGATGAACTAATCTGCCAAGTAGTTTGGCTAGATTCATAATGAGCACGAGAATCCGCTCTTGGGAAGAAAATTGAGAAACCCTCTTTCGCTTTGTGGGTTTTTTATCTGATTTTGAGTGGCAGCTTTTCGTGTCTTGACCTTAGGTAGATAGGTTCATGTCTTTGTTGTGCACCCCAATGCAAAATTGGTACAAATCTCTATATATCAAAGCGGGGGAGTTTGGCCAGCGCTCAGGGTGGCCACGTCGCCAGCCGTAGGATCTTCGCTTCCACGGCCAGATTTTGTTTCGTCGACTGTTCTGTCCTGCGTGTTGCCTTCGTTCGTTCATTTACTCTTCGTCGCCTCACTGTGCCCGTCCTCATCCTCTCGCCTGTACGCTCACTCCCTTGCTCCCGTCGCCACGCGACTGAGGCGATGGCGCGGGGCCGACCTCGGCGGTGGCCGGCCCTCCGCGCGGCGGCGGCAACACTCCTCCTCCTCCTCCTCCACCACCGCCACCACCACGCCACTTCCTCCTCGCGATGCAAGGCAGCGGGTCGCGCGGCCTAGGGTTTGGCCACTCCGTCGCCGGGCGTCCCCACAGCCGCGCGGCCAGCCAGCTGAGGCCCTGACACGCCGGACGGCTCTGGCGGCGGAGCAGCCTCCATGGTGGGCGTGGATGACGACGGGGAGGTCACGTCAGCAAACTCGGCGGTGGATCTGAGGCGGCTGCTCGCGGGGCCCCTCCCGGTGGCGGATCTAAGGCTGGAGCGCGGCGTGGACCTCGCGCCGCCAACGGAGGCGATCGATCCGCCCCGAGCAGGAGGATCCAGCGCGAGGCCTCCCCATCTCCACTGGATCCGGCTGCATGGGCTCCACCGTCGCACTGGACGGTGCCACAAGTCCGCGAGCTCGCCCCCGCCGTGCCTGCCATCCCGAGCGGCCGTCCTGTGGGGTTCGCCTCTCCTCTGCGCCCGCTGCAAGCGGCGACGCGCGCTTCCGCTTGCTGCGCTGCGCGCGCGCGCACGTGGCCCCCACAGTGGGCGGCCCGACGGCGGTGGACGTCCTCGACCATGGAGCGGCACGATAGCCCATGCCGGTAGCCGCCGCCGCTTCCCCCGCGCTGCCCTTTCCCGCCGCTCCGCGTGCGCTCCACCAAATGGTTGGATTTCTCCGCTCCCCATTCAATCTATGCAATGAATCGGGTCAAAAAATCCCCTTTATCTCCTTTCCTACCTTGCCGGCGCGCGCGAGGGCGCGCGTGATGGACTAGTCTGACTTGATTTGGACCATTTTTTGGATTTGGGGGAGATCTCACGGGCTACTGGCTGCAGGAACCAGCTAGGCCGGTTCTGGACTCGGCTACGTCAACCAATCGACTAGGCCGGCACTAGTAGCTGGATAAGCCGGTCTTGGCTCTGCCTACGGGAGGAATCGTCCAAGCCGATCCTCAAGTCGGCTAACCGAACTCGGCCCAATGAACTGGCCAAGCCGGCTAGCGTAACTGGCTAAGCCAGGTTAGCTGCTGTGCGACTCTTCTCCACTACGGTTGCTCGTGGTTTGCTGCTCCATTCATTGTGTGATTTTGTGAGTGCTCCGTTGTGTTCTCTGGACTTCCCGTAGAGCATCCAGTTGCCGATTGGCTCGAAAGCATTTCACTCGGCGCATTTGGTGTTTTAGAGGGTTGTTTCGGACGGTGGCCATTTCAGAAGAATTTTTGAATTGACTCCCATTGGTGCCCCCTTTGGTCACCTTTCTCGGTACTTCATGGGGAAATATTGTCGACAATGATCTCCCACACTTCTCCAAGATGATTGAACTTTTCTATCAAGAAATTATATGTGCAGTTATGGCAATTATAAATATAGACGTGTGAAACATTTTAGTTAAAATATGTAAATATATCTAAAATAAAAATCTATATAAATTATATGACATGGTCACTAATATGGCTTTAAATAATTTATTATTATCATTAATATATGATATGTATATATATGCTCTATGGTTATTTAAACATTTTTTGTAAATAAAAGATGTTGATAACTCAGATGTAGTTTTGAGAGTATATTGAATTTTTCTAATAATGAGATGAAAACTGAGCTACGTAAATTATCTATCGTAATAGGAGGACGTGGGTAATTAGATGTGAATTTAGGTCTACTTTAGATCATGTTTCTTCATAGCGTGGGTGAGTAGTTTAAATATAAAGTCCTGGGTTACTTTATGTTGTTTTGTGCAATAGTTGAGGTAGGCAATTATTTAGAAAATAAAATAGATCTAATAGCTACTATTATCAATGGTGATTAGGTTATACTGAATTGATAGTCAGATGTTTCTAATTTTTTGAGAATTTCTAGGATCTATTTTTTGTTTCGCTATTAGGACGTGTGTATATTAGCATCGTGGCTCCATTCGGAACCACTATTTAGAATTTCTAATATTTATCTTTTTCCTAGCGTGACATGTATTTAGTTGAACCTAAACTTAAGATATATAAACTCTTGTTGTATCCCTTTCTGTAAGTTCATGAATCCATAGTTTAGTTTTTAACTTTTAATCATGTGTTGTTGTTTTTTTCATGTGCTAAGTAGAAACTCAAGTGTTTTTTTATTTTTTATTCATAATTTATTGTTTTTTAAAAAGAGTAGCTTTGTTTTCCATAAGTTAAGTTGAAACTCAGTTTGCACCCGGATACTGAACACGTTGAGTTTGTTGTGTCACATGATTATGTATGTAGTATTGTTTTGTATATCATAGAGTGCTTAACATTAAATTCCCAATATTAATAAGAGATAATGTTTTAGTCAAAGTATATAAAACATATTTAAAATAACAACCTATGAAATTTGATTATCATTAGGTATATTGATATAAATTAAAGTGAATTGTCAATATTATTTTTATGGGTTTGTTAATTGAACATTTTCCATGCTTCATAAGCTATTAAAACAAATATTTATTCTAATGTATACATATTTATTTGGTGTACATGATGAAACCTAGCATTATGGCTATTTAATTTCATGATTGTAGATGATTGTAATTTATAAATAAGTAGGTCTCGTATTTAGATATTGATTTATTTTTATAGTGACATATTAGTATTTACATGTAGATTGGAGAGACATTTTTGCTTATTTTATAATGACTGAGGTAGATATAATATAATGGCAATACTTTATATTATCTTTCATAACGACATATATTGGTAGGCTGGATGCAAAATTAAGAGGTTACTTTGCATTAGGTAATCTATAAAATCATTAGGGGGTATTTTAAATTCTTTTATAATGACAGATGTGGGTAATTTAGATACAAAGCGAAAGGTCATTTTAAATTATCTTGGAATGATATAATTGGATAATCTAGATGTAACATTAAGTGGTAATTTTTGAATTATGTTACGTAATGGTAAAGGTGGGTAATTTAGATGCAAATTTAGGGGGTTATGTTGAATTATTTTTCATAATGGCACATGTGGGTAATTTATATACAATTTTAAGGGGTTATTTTGAACTGTCTTTTATAATGGCAGAGTGGATAGCTTAGATGCAAAATTATGTGGTTACTTATGTATTTTTCATAATGACAGTGGTGGGTAACTTTTTCTTTATAAAATTGCAATAGATCCAATGGATATTATCGGTGATGATTAGAGTCTACTAAATTAAAGACTAGATGTTTCTGATTATTTTGAGAATTTTTAGGATTAATCTGTTTTTTTGTAGCGCGTCTGATGAGAATTAACACGATGCCTCTGTTGGGGCCTCTAATTGGTAATAGTAAGATAGTTACGACAAATTGTAGTATGTTGGAACCGGGAAATAGTTTAGAGGTGGCAACAAGCTCTAAATGGTATTAGTTTAAGAGAGTTTAGTGAAAGAAAAGAAT